AAAAAAAAGGAAACAAATAATTAAAAACAAAGAAATTAATTACTTAAACTTTGAAAATTCACAATTGCTTGGTATTTTGCTCTTTGTGGACGCGATTTCATTGTCCGATGGGTACTAGTTTTGTTCAGATCAATTCAATTCCCTTCTATCAAATATCTGCCAGGCTTATCCTCCTGATGGTACATTATCCTTTTATTACTATGGGGAAAACTTCGAGTCACTTGAGAAAAAAGTTTATGCTGAATTTTGAGTAAGAGGATTGCTTAGTATTTCGCTATTGTCCGATCGGTACTAATTTTGTTCTGTTTACGTCATTTTTCAGATCAATTCAGTTGTCTCTCTCCAGCTTGGTCTTCTCATGGCGTATTCAGACACGTTATCCTTTATTACCACGGAAAAGCTCCGAGTCACTTGAGAAGATTTCACATATATTAACATAAAGTTTATGCTGAATCTGGAGTAAGGGGATTGCTTGATATTTCGCTATTAGTGGAGGCGATCTCATTGTCCAATCGGTATTAGTTTTGTTCAGCTCAATTCAGTTCCCATCGATCAGATAGTTCCCAAGCTCATCCTCCTGATGTCACATTATCCTTTTGTTACCAAGGAAAAGCTTGGAGTCACTTAAGAAGTCACTTGAAAGTTTGTCCTGCATCTGGAGCAAGAGGTTCGCTGGATATTTCGATATATGTGCACGCGATTTCATTATCCGATGGGTACAAGTTTCGTTCAGCTCAATTCAGCTCCCATCGACCAGATTTCTTTCAAGCTTGGTCTCCTGATGGCATATTCAAGCACGTTATCCTTCTATTATTAAGAAAAAGCTTCCACTGCAACTTAAGAAGATTCGTAAGAAACTATGGAGCATGTGGTGGCGGAAGCAAGGGTAATGCTTAGAAATTGATTAAAGTTAGATAAAGCAATCGTTGTTTGATTATTTTAAATAATTTTAATAAAAATACGCAAATTTCTCTCCTCTTGCTTTCCTCTTTCTTTCGTTCATTTACTCTGTCTCATATTATTTCTTCAATATACCTACTCTAAAAAAAAAAAAAAAAATATGAAACACTTTCTTAGCTTCTACTTGCTCTGTTAGACAGGAAAAAAAGAAAGAAAAAAAAAGCCTAAATTAGAGGAAAGGGCTTTTCGCTTGTAAAGTTTAACGAAACGTTACTGCGACTCAAGTTCTTTATGAAAAAAGCACGTATTAAAAAAATTTCTCTTATTTAACTTAAAAAAAAAAAACAAATTGAAAAAAATAAAAAGGAGGTTACATTCTGATTGAATCGAATCTTCAAGCACCTAATAAGTCGAAATTGTTAAGAGAAAACATAAACATGTAACTCAGTTCTCGGCTTGAAGTCTATAACGAGGAAAATTTTCTAAGAGATTTCGTGAAAAACAATTCTGTTGTATAATATTTTTTTGTCAATGGCGCTCACAAAGGAGTGCATTTGCTTGCTGACCTTTCTTAGCGAATTTGCGTAAAGAGGACGGGAGCCTTCTTCTTTAAGCCGTTGCTTGGTCGCCAAGACTCGCGCTGTCTTGCGAACAGCTATTTGTTTTTCTTTATTTTTATTCCTACAAAATTGGAGTTTTTCCCCATTTTATTTTAATTCTCGCAAAACAATCATATCAGACGTCAAGTACGTGGGGATTCTCTCTTCTTCGTTTTCTTTTCCGTATTTGCTACCGAATCAAAACCTGTTTTCGAAGGCTTTCAGTCCATTATCCCCATTTCTTATAATTCGATGGCGATAACTCACAAATTTCAAGCGCTTAAATAATCGTCACGTTCTGGACAGATTTATTATTATATAAAATATTACTGTTGTTATTAGTTTAGGCCGAGAATAAGTTGTAAGACTAGTACGAGTCTAGTACTATATTAGTCAGTCTTAAAGCACTAGGATCTAAGGCTACCGGCTTTATTGAAAACTCTACCGCACTTCAGATTTGACCGTTAAGTTATTGTCATCTCCTACTCGGCCGCTCAGGCGGATTGATACTGAAGCGAAACAGAGCATCATTCGGATCCCAATCTTCATTTTTGTAAGTAAAAAGGTAATCCGGAATATTCATTTACGTCATAAGGCACACAGCTGACTGACTCTGTACTGGTAGATGCGGAATCTTGATTCAAATGGCTTGAACAGTTTTAACTTTAGAATTGAACCGAAATAGAATATCATCTGGATGCCTTTTTCTGGGCCTGATCTGCATTTTTGTATGTCATAAGGTACACCACTCACTGACTCTATACTTCTAAATGCGGATTCTAGATTCAGCGGGTTGAATAGTTTCAATTTTAGATATTGTAGCGAAACAGAAAACCATTTGGATTCCGATATGGATTTTTGTAAGTAAAAAGGCAATCCCGGAATAGTCATTTGTGTCGTAAGGCACACTGCACACTGATTCTGTATTTCTACATGCTACACAAGACGTGACAAAGTTAATGTACCATTTAATGAAACGTGCAAAAATCCATCAGTACTGAAAGAAAAGAAAAATTTGAAGAAAAAAAAAAGCTGAAGAACGCGCATAAGCCATTAAAATGGACTTTTTTTTTAGAGAGAAAAAATTATGAGTGTCAGGCATTAGGCTTCCTTTAGAAAAGAGAAAAAGTAAGTGCGTTAGGGAAATTTAGAAAACAGCAACCAACGTCCATTATATTCGTTCGCTATGAAGGACTGTTTTCCACTTTTCGCAAAAAAAAATAAAAATAAAAATAAAAAATATAAAAAAAAAGGTAAAATAATAACGAAAACGCTTTGTAAGATATGCGTAGCCATTAATGTATATTTTCTCCTCTTCCTTTGCTCAAATTAAATATACGTCCTACATTTTTCGTTTGTAGCTAACAGAAGGGTAGTAAAGAAAAAGAAAAAAATCTGTGGAAAACTGCGCGAAGAAGGGGTGCTGTTTGCTTAACTCGCCTTCTTCTTGCGTAAGAGAGAAAGCTTTCTATTCTACTTTTTACTTTTTTATAAAATTGAAAATTTTTCTTTTTTCCTTTCTCCTTTATCGTCAACGAGTAATTTATTAATTATTCAAAAGCAAAAGGACATCTGCGAAGATGGCAAAACAACTACAGGTGATGGCTTGGTTTTTGACTTTTCTTTTTATTTTTTTGCAAAGGAAAGAATAAAATAGAATCAGTAATTTATGAACATTCAGCTTTCTCTAGCTTAGCGAAGAAAAACGATAATTTAATACATATTTTATATTCCTTTTTAAAAAAGTCTTGTCTTGTTTTTTTTTCCACTCTCATAGCATTCGATGTCGTGCGAAATAATTAAGCTGGTCGTAGGGTTTTTAAGGAAATTACAATCCTTTCGGAATGCTGTGGGCCGTGTCAGTTGCAAATCAACTTTTATTTAAGCCGCTCACAATTAATATTAAGATAATTAATAAGGATTACGTATTAGCCCTGGTATGCGTAAAAAATTGTTGAAGCATTTGATTTTTCACGACTTCTTCACGTCTTCGCAAATAGAGGGAAATGGCAACCAAAGAAATTACTGTTTACAGAAGGACGAATTGTCAACCCATACCTTGTTAAATATTGAAGAGCACGTTAGTCAACTCTGATTATACCCACATACCACTTGCAATACAAGGTGGATTTTGCGGAAGTATGCAACATCCAAAAGAACTTGAGATAGATCCACCTTTTATTATATCGATTCAGAAACAATTTCTTGTTTTCTTATATTCAGCCGACAGTTGACAACTTTTAAAACATTTCGAAGACCCAGTTTTCTTTATATCAAAATTCAAAATTCTTCTTCTTCTTCTTGTTTTCTTCCTACCGTCGTATTTTGGTACGACGTACGAATGCTATTGAAAACATTTGAAGTCGAAACATTTTTTTGGACATCTTTCCATATAAGTCCTTACTCTAAAACGCCTTTATATGAATAAACGGACTAAACAAGGTGGCCTAGGGTATATAATACTGCACTGCATCGCACCATAAGGTTTCCACTTGGTCTTCATTTAAATGAATTCCTCCAATAGGCTTAAATTGTAGCCGGCTGCCTATTATTTGTATCCATGTAAGATGATAGGAAACATTTTTTACTGAAATATAGATAACTATTGTTAACATTTTCAACTGAATTTCATGTCAGACTTTTTTTGCTGCAAACGTTATCATTAACTAATCAGTGTGCAGATAACTTTTTAGTTTCTTTTGTCAATTTTTGAAAACATGCTCGAAGAGATGTTCTGATTTAGTAACTTGAAATTTTTAAAAATTGGACAATTGATCAAATTTTCATAATTAAGATTGAATTTAAAGATGTAAAATTTTAAAATTATAATTTAAATATTTTTGTAAAATGAAATTGATTTTAAAAATATTATTAATTAATATCATTAATTAATTAAAAAAAATTTTCAAAATTATAATATTTATTTATTTATTTAATTATGTAATAAAATTGTTAATGTATTAATTAATTTAATTTTTAAAATTACTTACTAATTTTAATTCAATATATATAATTTTGTTTAAAGTTATTTACACATTGTAGGTAATTAATTAAATTTATAAATGTATAAATTCAATTATTTAATTTGAAAATTGAATTAATCAATATATTGGAGGGATAAATAATAGGGAGGTTTTTACTAATTTTAATCCAATAAATATATATAGATAGTTAATTAGTACGTCTTATCAAGGACGTACTTGCCTTGTGGCATCAAACATTTCTCCGAATTATAAAAGGACAGAAAGACAGCACTAAAGAATTTCAAAAGAATAGCAAAAGAACATAACACTGGATATGATTTTTTGCCAGAAAACAATATAAGTGCACAGGTGTACGAGAAAAAGTCAACTACTGCTGAACCAACTCAGAATTTTATTGCTATTAAGATCCCTTATCATATCAAGTTACCATATATCGCAATTTCTTCCAAACCTAGCTCCGGGAGAAGCAACTCTTTCCGAATATTTCTAGGCCAAAATGAATGTAATTTTCACTCACCTCAGTTTACAGTGGAAACATTTCATCGTAGGTAGTATAGGCCAACATCATGTTAGCTATGTCTAAGAATTTTTGAGATAAAGCTTTTTGCAAACCGGGTATAATTTCTTTAAGATATAAATCCTGATTGTCGTTAATGATCATATTGCCGGCTTCGCTTAAAACGGGATCACCATTAAATAAGTTATCTAAATGCATCTTAAATACACTTATATTTATACGCATCGGCATTTTGATGAATTTGACCAGCTCTACATCATCTTTAAAATAGCGAACACCGCGCATTTTAACTAAAGCGGTAGCGTTTTCTGAAAAAACAAAAAGAACAACAGTTAAGTGAACTTGTATTGAGAAACATTACAAATGTAGAGATATTTGTTGTTTTTGTAAAAGACGAACAACTTACCACAATGACCTCGAACTTTACCCTGACCCTCTACATCTAACAGTAATATGTTCAATTTCATGAAATAATTGCCAGCAAAATCAATGCGTGGTAAAGTCAACAATAAATCGAAAGCCATAGATGAAGTGTTCGCCCTACGGAAAGATATTAAGTTAATAGCTTTTGACAAAATTTGCAAAAACGATAAACAGAATTACTTTAGTTTATTGATTATAAAATTACTGCCGCCACGCACTTGCATGTCGCTAAAGATTGCATGAAACTGCTGGCCACCGCCCAATTCAATATTGTCCAGATTTAATGGTTCCAACGGTGGCGATCGGTAACCATCACCGAAATTTCCATGAGCCAACAATGGTCGAACTGCTTCGACTGCTTTAATAATACAATTTTCTAAGTCAGGATGATTGCGATGACAGGTTGTAATGGTAGAAGCTGAATATCCAAACAAGAAAAAGCAAAAGTAAGGTTTGAACAAGTAAGAAAATTGTATTCGGCCGTAACCGAATCCTTTATGACCATCACCGTGATTTTTAAAAAAAAGGAAGAAGCATCTTTATGCTATTTAATACTGGGAGGGCGCGGTTGATTGATGATGATATTTTTAGAACACAAGTGGGAATTAATAGATCTTATGAGTAATAACCCAAAAACACGAAAAGCAAAGGTGTTCATAGTTTTTGTTATATAGACGTGTAGGTACTGTAGGCGTGTTCTTTTAAGAGTTTGGGTCATTTTCAAATCCTTTTGTAGCTTCGTAAGTAATACTTTCTTTTCTGCAAATGGGAGTATCTTTACCACACATACTACCCAGTGGTGCAAATGGAAAGATGGACAGATGAATGGGCCGACCTACTTAGATGCATTACGAATTCGAAATTGGCAGAGAATTTATATACTTTATGGAATTTTGGTGCCTTGCCTTTGCGTGTTATAAAAGTTCTGTAAAAAAATGAAATTATGGCAATCTATAAAATTAAGTAGGCGTGTCCGCGTGTCCGTGTTCCCATTTTTGTAAAAATACTACAGCATCGCCCATAGAATATACGGTCAAATTTTTGCACATTTATCTGCGATACCATTTTTTATTCCTTTTGAAGAACAGAGATCTCCTCGGTTTAAATAGTACTGTGGGTGTGTCTTTCGAAAAATTTGGACCTTTTGCAACATCAACCTGCGTGCAAGAAATTCAAATTTGAAGGCGACAGCTTCATTTTTGCGGACGGGAGAATATTTGTAATCGACATTATACAGACGGACGGACGGACGTGCTTAAATCGATTCAGAATTTGAATATATATACATTGTGTGGTCTCTATTACTTTCTTCTGCGCCTTGTAAACGTTTTGAGAAAAGAAGTATTCCCCCCATCCTTTGGTGAAGGATGTAAAAATAAGCAAATAGAAGATACTCAAGCATTTAATGTAAATAGTTAAGTAATATATGATAAGAAAATATGAAAAGTTCTGCACTGGTACTTTCGATCTTTGGAGCTTTTTCACAGCTCAGTTTATACACTAAACTATGCAAAAAAATGGTTTTGGAGGCCCTGCAGAAACGGCGAATAACGTCATTTATGCGCTGTGATATGAACTTCCTCTCCATTCTTTCCACTTGGGAAGAGTATGAATTCAATTGCATGAATTTTAATCTTTGTTCCTTTCCGAGTATTTTCTAAATATTTACAGTGTTCATCAAAGTTTTATTATTACTTTTCACCACATGTTACATTACATCGCAACACTTGCAGATAACCAAACCAAAGGTTGCACGATCATTATATTCTTAGCAAGCTGGAGATCATTACTCTGGCTCGCCTTGCCTGCCTATAGTAGATAACTAAAATCCCATTGAGTCGGAAAAGAGGTGAAATTCCCTTGCAAAGTGCAAACGATTGCCAACCTTATCCTCACAATGACAGTGGACCTCTAAGCCAAATGCAAATGAAGCAGTAATAAAGAAGGCAAAGCCAATATTCTTTTGTTGCAAACCGATTAGAGATTCTCTGCTAACTCTTATTAAGGTATTTCTTAAAGAACTTAGCTTATAATTGGATTCCCTTCAACGAGGAGGAGAAATCCGTCCATAATAAGCCATCCATACTATATTGCTGTCCTTCGAGAGGCCTGCTTAAGCTCATGGGAATGTGTCAAAATTAAAAGGGGAAACATACGCTTGACGATCAACACTAGTGAGAGGTTTTAACCATCAATCACACGCCATTTCGCCTCTTAACGATCAAAAGCGCTACGCTGTAGAAGCCACTCAAAAGGGTTCCGTCGACATTACCACGAACATGTTTACAGATTGCCAAAAACACACCCTCAACGCAGCTTAGACATGTTGACACTGTAAATCATCTGTTATTTGTTCTTTGAATCGTTGTGAAAAGACGATAATAAATTCCACGATTTCTGATCATTGCATTATATATTTGTTTGAGATGTCGTAGATATCCAAGTTGCACTCCAAGGCGATTATTATGTTAATTAAAAGCGCTGACCTTGTCGGAAACGTGTCTGCATTGCTAATCAAACAGTTTTTGAAATATTTACTTTACTTATCAATCGCTATCATTACACGTTTTATTAATTCATTCGCAGGTAAGCACATGTACGCGAAAGTTGAGCTCTTATATAGAGGCAAACCAATTAAGCAATTAAATAGGAATTTTGTTCACCTAATAAATTTTTCTTAATTAACATTCATATCACACATCAGAAATGATGTCTCAACACTGCTTACATACTCCGTTTTTATTGATATAATTATTAATGGCTTTGCAGAAAAGACTCCACAGAAATGTTTGAAAATTAGTTGCGAACATACTTTCCTGTCTTTGTTAAAGTAAGAAAAGCATCAACTTTTCTCAAATTCCTTTGAATCGTCTATAGACAATTTGGAATAACAATGACTAAAAGAGATTTGAAGCAGTTTCACTTGTCGCTATGCTTTCAGTTAATTGCGAGAATTGCAGTTAATTGTTGTTTCAACTGCTTTGCAGGCTACTAGTCTTTCTTAGTCTTGCCAGCCTTATTACTGTATACGTTCCGCTATTTCAGATAAGTTCTGTTCTTCACAGAGGAATGACACAAGTTTGACGAATTCTGATGAATTATAAGGCATTCATTACCTTGTAATCTACTGCGTCTACACGATTTACAATGATTGTGAAATAAATACGAGTCCTCGGCATTTACCGTGATACGGGAGGTAGCGATATCTTCATTATAGGGTCTACAGTATTCAGAATGACTATGAAGTAAATATGAGTCCTCTGCATTTGAGGTTGGTGCAGGTAGAAAGATCTGCCTTAAGAAATCCAAACGAAGTATTTAATCCCTTAATCGAACATTCTTAGTCTTGGGAATGACTTTTAGCCCAAAATAGTGAAATCATATCGCAGTGACAACCATTTACGCCAACATGACTTCGTTAAATAATTGCAAATCAAATTGGGGAAACTTTTCACCGGTCTTAGGCAACATATGTAACTCGTTTTAGATGATGTAAACTATGCTTTTTCATCTATTAGAGGAAACCGCCCCTCCTTCTTTCTTTAGAGATCTAAATAGTCGTTACAAGGGTTTGTGTCAAATTCCAAACTAAACTTTCCTTAAGCCCTTCACATTTTGCACAGGAAATTAAGGGACAATTAGTTCATATGTCCCTCCTGGGAGCCTAAATGCCACACTGCACACTTTTGAACCCAACAGCCGAACGAATACATAGCCAAGTTTACTCGGAATCTTATGCTGATCAAGAGCTAATATACTTTACGGCCTCGTGAGCGCATTTTCGTATGGCGAAATTCCTCACGACCGCTTGCTGGTAGGTGAAGACCAATCTTGACGAAAGCTTCCATATAAGACATAAATAATATGCGGTCGAAATTATAGAAACGTACTCTTTATCAATCACCGCGAAACACTTATATGAAACGTTTGATAAAAAGTTCACAAAACTTAAATGATTAAACTATGTCCATCGTTTAATTTGTCCGCTTAGTCGCTTTTAATATTTGCTTATCATTAACAAACAAACAAACAAAATATTAACAAACAAATTATTTATCTAATTACATACGTAATTTGGTAAAGCACGTTTGGAATGATAAAATGAGAATTAACGTTTCTACTTTCGATAACATCCTTTATAACTTTTCCGAAATGTATTAGCATATAAAGCAAAACAAACGCACAACGCAACTCGAAAAAGTTAACTAAAAACCAAAAATCATATAACATTAGTTTTATAATAATAAATAACTGAACGTTACAACAACAACAATAATAACCAACAAGTAAGAAAATTATATTCGATTGTGGCCGAATCTTTTGTACCCAGTACTGTTATCCTAAAAAGACAAAAAAAGTAAAAGAATTACATTTTAATGCTCTATAACAAGGAGTGAGCGAGGGTGACTTTTTCTCTTATCAAAACAAAAGTTTTTGCTGCATAAGTATGTGGTCGTGGGCGTTGTAGGGCGTGTCCTTTGAAAAATTTAAGGCACTTGCAAATTCTTTTGCGATATCTTTATTCTTACGAACGTGAAAATGTTTACCACAAACACTACACGTTTGCGCAGACAGGCGGACTAACAGACGGACATGTTTAAGTAGATTCGAAATTTGAAAATGGCCAAGAATTTATACATTTTATGGCGTTTTTAAAGCTTGTTTTGTCGTAAGGAAAAAACGTACTTTTGAAAAGCAGAGGTGTTCTCAGTTTACTTGGCGCTGTGGGCGTGTCCTTCGGTCGATTTGGCCTATTTTCAATACCAACGTGCATGCAAGAACTTTCATTGTTTCTGTTAAATTTGAAATCGATAGCTTCACCAAGGAGAAAGATTACAACAGACGTTACACAGACGGGCAGACAACCAGACGGACAACTTGAAATCAATTCAAAGTTTAATGCTGATCAAAAATATATATACTTTGTGGGACTGCTGACATTTCCTTTTGGGCGTTGCAAACGTTTTGACAAGATGAATATACCACTCATCCTTCGGTGATAGGTGTAAATATGTAAGATTTAACAACTTGGGTGAGGCAGAAAACTGAATGGTTAACAGCCCACAGCAAACAATCTTAGCTATTAGAAGATGGCCAAGATACCAGGGTCAATAGTGATTAGGTCACTCTTCATCGGAAAAGGGCGGAACCACTTTTACACAAACGATTTAAAGTATACAGGAAACAAACGTAGACAGTAGGAAGTCGACTTATCGACGTACAACATTTTCAAACACTTAATTTTGTCGCTGACATGTTTCTTATTCTTTATTATTCCCATATGCGATTAAATCATCCAAAATGTTAATGTATGCAGATAACGTGAGGCTATTTATGACTATTCACAGAGACTTATGCGCTAGAACACTTCAAGTTGACCTAAACAATTTAGATGCTTCTAGAACCCGGCAAATGGCTTAGCATTGAACTTGTGAGAAAATGTTGTTTTCAAGACGGACTGACATGATACTTTATAAACTCGTATAAATTGGAGGATGCAGGTATGACTTATGATTTAAGTGTGCTTTTTAATAGAGAAACACGTGTTAAGCTACATATTTTATCAGCTGTCGGTAAAGCAAGATCTACATTGAGATTGGGTGGGCTCGTTAATTTCACGACCCATATATTGCAAAACGACTGTATGTGACGTTAGTTAGATCAATATTGGCATATGCAGTGGCGGTACAGTCTACGTCCTATCGTTGCTTTGTGAAAGCAATCGTATCGGTGCGAAAACAATTCCCGCTTTTCGCATTAAGGGACCGGCCGTGGGACAGCCCGGTGACTTTATCACCACATGGAGATGACTATTCATTCCCCACGGAGAAAGATCGATTTCAATTTGGAATATCATTCTTGGTAAAATTTATCAAAGGTGCTATTGATTCGAATGCCCTGTTGAGTGAAATTTATAGAAATCCTCCAATTCGACCCCTAAAAGGTATCACCTTATAAAGCTTTTCCAATGAGAATTTAAATAAGGTTCGCAGGCTAATCGACAGATGTGATTCAATGCTTAGTATAAAACCTCGTTCTTTGGCAATGTCATGCTTAGATGATAATAATCAATAAAAACGGAATCAATATAACTGCTAGTAAGCGTTGATTTAGTGAAGTCTCAAAACCCGGAACAAATAGCCGGTATGGCGCTCGAGCAATGAAAATGAAATATGAATTTATAGATAAAGTGATAATTACTTTTAGCCTGGGTCTTGCGGTGTTATAATGTTGACTTAATGTCGCTTATGTTTACATTGTTTATAAATAGCTTAGTGCAAAAAGAAAGGATTGCACCCTCCGCCTTCACCAATGCGGTTTACTTCCAAAAATGAGACAACTATATCTTATCTATCAATAAAATTTTGAATAGTTTTAGGTATAGAAATTCAAGAATGCCAAACAAGCCTATCTTCTAGAATAGGGCGTTCCGAATCAGAGTAAATTGCTAAGTAAATTAAGTTACGTACGCTTTATTCCTTACTTAAATCTTTCCTTGATGACTTTTAAATAGAACAAAATCTAACCAAAATTTGGAAACTATAGATATTATCTTCAGGAATCGAATAGCTGAAAAAGCCCAAGTACTGGAGAGTACTTTTTGGAACCTTTTATACACAGATGGCTCAAAATCTTCTGGTCTTCCGCCTGCTTGTGCCGTGGTAGATGCTTCAGATCAGATTCTTCTCAATCACGTATTTCATGAAAGTGCTTCAACCTTCACACGTCCCTCACGCTGTGAACATTTCCCATAAACCGTCACTATTACTTACATTTTCTCTGTATTGAAAACTGCACGGAATCCTTCGACTTCGGGATGGAGCACCATCAGCAAATTAAGGAATATCATTACAACAACCGGCGAAAAAATTTAAATGCTTTGGGCACCAAGTCGTATCGGTTTATTGGGAAATGAGAAGCGGCGAAGTATGCTACTTCTGCAGCTCTAATTAAGGATCATGTCATGGAAAGTTGGGTCTTCAAAGATACATTGGAAGAAAAGTTAAAGGGAAAATTATTGAAGGAAATCTACAATACCATCATCAGCACTACTCCCCTATTAATCCTCAATTAATTCCACCTTTTTGGCCAACAAATGTAGAAAAAATCAAGATCCAAACCTTTCCCTTTGGCCATACAATTGCAACTCATCAATGGATTCTTAAGAAGTCTTCCTCCCCAATCTGCAATAGTGGACAAATTCTCACTATAAAGTATATTCTCTGTGACTGTCTCAACTATTCCTTGGCTAGAAGTATTGCATATGAAGCGACTAATCCTATGGTCATTCTAAAATCAGCCACAAAGCAGACTATCCATGCAATATATTACTTTATTAAAACCATTAAGCTCAATATTTAATGTACTTGTATAAATTAGAACCGATAGCCTATGTAGCTAGTGCTCCATGTGTTTTTTCTTTTAGTCTATGAATTTATGTCACTAGTCTAGAATTACAATAATAAAAACAATATCGTAAAATTGTTTTCAGTTACCTTGGAAGAATCCATTAATTTTTTTAATATTGATTTTTAAAACTAAAAGCAAAAATAATGACGAATTAATGAACTCAACTGCTAAAGGAAAATTTCGAAATTGAAAAAAGGAAATAGTAACTAACTGACGAGACTACATGAGGTGTGTGTCAAAGTTCATCTGCATACAACGGCATTTTCAGAACAATTATATGGAGAAGGCATCGTCTTAGCTTTGCCGTGAATGGAAAAATGAAAAATGCATTTAAGCGTAAATGTTGCAATTAGTGAATGTGTCAACGATGACATGTCACGACGAAATTTCCCTTCATTTTTGCGAAACGCACTTGAAAAATCAACACAACTTTTTCCTATTCATGTAATGGAAGTAAAAATAAAAAAAAACTCGATAAAAACCCACTAGTGTTGTTCGCATATACGACTTATTGATAGTTTTTTTGTGGTGGAAATATTCTGACGGACACATGTACATTACAAGGCAACAACAATGCGACCAAAAAAAAAAACGTTTTGAATATGAAATTGTGCGCAAAAATGGTGACAACAAAAGGACAGCAGTCGTTAAAATATTCCAATGTTCACTATTCGTCGCAATATATTGATTGCATGCTGCACTCTGCTGGTTAGCGGGAAAATTTTCATTTATTTTTCAATTGTTTTTCTTCTGATTTTCTTGTATGAGAAATATTTTGCATAAATAATGATATCTAGCCTTAACATCTCTAACAAGATGTGTGTGTGATGTATGTGTTCGCATAGTTTTCACAAATATTTTCCCATTTTTCTTGATTGTTTCGAGGGTACTGTTCACACACGCAGCTTCGTTATCGGACATTTGGGTATTATTTGAAAAAATTGATCGAAAGTAAAGTAAATTATATAAAGAAAACTATTATTTAGTCCATAGTTTAAATTCGCTTTTTACTGAATTTATTTCTTTTTTTTTCATTTATTCGACTTTTTCATAGGCTTTGAATTTTTTCTTTCAATATATGATCCAACCTATCTATGCTAGTCTACATATCATCCGTGCATAGATTTAGACTTTTTGACACTTTTAGGTACACCCATCGGATCGATGGAGCGCCTTAGCTGAACATAACCTTTAAATTAGAAAAATATAAAACAAATTTATTTTTGACAGACAGACTTCTCTGATACACAAAAATTTCAATCAAGAGATTGACAAAGTAATTTAAATATAAATATTTCAACTTAGACGGCCGCTGTTTCCAACATACGTATATATTCGCTTTTAACCTCGAAAAATTTTAAATATATTTTGACTTAGACAGGCTTCTCTTGCCCAAATTTTAATGCAATGGGATGAATACATCGCCTTTATTGCTGGTCCATACATTTTAATTATCGAAATTAGTTTTTGGGATTTTTACAATGTTTTCCGGTGTAATCGCCCCCTTTTTACCTTCTATTGCATTCAACGTCGGGATAATAGCAAAGCGATGAACATTAAATTCTGTGCCATGGGGCAAAATTTAACCTCTTATCACCTTTTTCGCTTCGTCGACCATAAAAAAAAATCATATTTTAAGTTCAAAAATTTCATGGCTTTCCTTTCAATAAAAACCCCTCCTATAGCGCGTGCGAGGCAAACAAACACGTGCATAACGTAGACTGACAAATTAAATGCATCTACGTAGCACTGGTGAAACGAGAAGAAATCCACCCATTTTTTTAGCAGATTATTATTGGATGGAAAAAAATAAGTCATGTAGGGAAGTTATGCCCCAAAAAAAGAACAGGATCCATAATGGATGAAGCTGCGCAAATGGGGCCAAAGGCTGGATTTACATATTACGTGTACTTGATGGGATTGGAAGTGTATTGCACAACCTGACCAGACGATCGACTCCTGTCTCTGCTATCGTCCGCGATGGACAGGAGAGAAATCGTCGTTTGTCATGTCAGTAGCAGATTACATACTTTTTTTCCAACTCGCCAAAAATCGAAAATGCTTTAAGCACTCACGGTTTCAATCCTGCAAAAAAAATTTGTGAAAACGACTTTATTTCATTTTTTATTCACAAATTTTAGAAGTTCCATAGTTCTATATACACAATGGTTTGACCACAAAGTTAACAAGCAAGAAAGTTATAGTCCGCGAGGGCCGAATCTCCCATACCCACCACTGTGCCTTTCGCACTCTATTCTCCAAGTCCTTTTATTTGATACCCATATCGCTATTATTATTAAGAAAAATCAATCCACTAGGTGGTAGTATCTACTATACTCAATTTAGAATTAACGCATTTTTAGACGGTTAATATATCTTCATAGTTGTAAACATTCTACATTCCTTGCCTAATGATAAATAAGCATAAAACCTCAAAAAAGTGAAAAAAATAAAATATAATCACTTGTAACTTTGTGTGGACGTGGCCGAGTTTTTCCATTGCTGCCCCCAAAGAATAGAGTGTTTCATAAACTAATTGTGGAAAATTTCCGTCTTCTAACTTTTATAATTTCTGAGTAACGAGCAAAAACCCAAAAATTTTTCCGAAGAAAAGCGGAGGTGCGTTCAGTTCATGCTCCATTGCGGGCTTCTGCTTTAACCAATTTGGCCCATTTTCAATATCAACTTACGTGCAAAAATTTCCAATGTTTCTACTAAAATTGAAGTCGATATCTTCACATTTGCGACCGGGAGAGTGCCAACAACCAACACCTTGCAGACGCACAGATGGGCAGACATGGTTAAGTCAATTCAGAATTTCGCGCTGACCAAGAATATATATTCAGTAAAAGTTCTTTATTCGCGGGGTATATGTGCCGCGAATACAGAAACCGTGAATACGGAATGGTATTGGAATTAGATACCTATCGGAATCCTTTTATTATCATGTATGTAGTTATTAGATCCGCGAATAAAGAAATTTATAGCCGCGAATATAGGATTTTTTTAAATTTGTTTTAATCCGCGAATAGTGAAAAAGCGAATGCAAGACAGAAGCACAAATAAGAAGCTTTTACTGTACTTTATAGCGTCTGTGAAGCTTCTTTTTGAGTGCCACATACATTATGAAAAATAAAAGAAAATGAGTATACCGCCATGCTTCAGTGGTAGGTATAAAAAAGCAGATATTTGATTTCAAAAAGTTTACTTAAAGTTTAATACCAATTTGTCTAGAATTTAGTAAAATTACGCCACAAATATTTTCTTTGGTGCACAAATTAAGTTTTACGTGTTATGAGGATACTTTTAATCCAGACTTTTTCAAGTTGATAAGCGATATCTTCGAACCAACGTGCAAAAGTTTGTGCAATAATAAGAATGAAATTATAATTCAACTATAGCAAGTGTTTTAACAGTTTAATCCAATCCCAATTTTATACTGAACTGGAATATTTCTTACAAGTCTATCGTTAGAGAGCAGGGCAAAGTTGCCCGAAAACATGTAAGTGATTGAACATTTTCGGTACGATGTCGAAACTTCTAATATTACACGTTCTGGAAAATCGATATTGGATTAGATAGTAAAATTGAAAGTTTTTCTTCAATACTAACTGTAAAATTAAGTGTTTTGTACCCGCCTGCGTGTCCGAGTAGGCAAAGTCTCGACTAACAATTCAATCGTCACGGGTTCGAATCTCAAAGCCGATAGCCTTAGATGCTGGTGCTTTAAGACTTTAGTCTTAGATTTCATTCTTTGGCTAAATTAATTATAATAACAATAATAATAAGTGTGTTGTAGTTTTTTTTATTCTTGAAGACACATTTCGAAATCTATTACAAAGAAAGTCTTAAAATAATTCATTTCTTCGATGAAAGTCTATTACTTGCTCGTCTTTTCGTAGGCTGTTCGCTGACAGCTTCCGAGGCATCGCTATCCCTTTGCGTACGTTTCCTTGTAGATCTGGCATTAATTTTAGCTACATTTTTTCTTAATTGTGATTCGTCAACATTTTCGCTTTCCTTCCGCAGCACTTCATTATCGTCGGGTGTTATAGGTGAGCAAGTAGTACTATCAGATTCGATTACGTTATCTGTACTCGTCTTATTCTCTTTGCTTTTGTTCTTTCTATTATTTTTTTCGGAATTTTCTAATTTCCTTTCATCAGAAGAAGCCTTTCTTGAAACACTACTACGACGTGTCTGATAATTATCATTTGTTTCTTCCTCTTCTTCGTCTTCTTCATTTTCATTCTCTTGATTTTCCAAAAGTCTGGACTCTTCTTCGATTTGTTCTAATAAAGTTTCTTCGTCTTCGTTTTCGTTTTCGCCTTCCACCTCATTTCCATTACTATCGTCTAACACCTCAGCATCTTCTATCTGACTGCTATGTGACAGAGTGCGATCTATGGCTGCTTTTAAATCGGAAGTTTTAACGCGATAATCTCGAGCGGTACCAACATGAACAAAATTCGCTAAGCGAAGATCAGTTCTTTTAGCCAAAAGGACGATAGTTTTGTTGAAGTTCTCTATGCAGAGAATAACTTTTGATATAAATTTCGTTTCCCTTAGAACTTTTGCAGCTCCAACTTGAGGATTACGTTTGTGCTTCTTATCCGTATCCAATACATTGCTTTCGATATACGTTATTAAAGCATAAAAGTTAGATGGCAATGCTTTACCCACCACTTTCAATAAGATATCAAATCTTGAGAGAAAATGAAAATAAAAAACAAAGTAAACATAAGGTATTTGTCGAACGATGAATCTAAAGCGTGTCCCACGTACGAAAAATTATATACTTATTTGCTAATCATCTTTGAAAAGTGTCAGTCACAGATCTGCGCAGTCTTGATCAAAGAATACCGAAATGTTCGGTGTTTTCTAGATTGTTTCAATTCTTCATTTAACGTGAACATGTTTGTGAGCAGAGACAGCAATGGCAGCTTGGGTTTGATTTGAATACCAACCTGCGTGTAGAAACTTCCAATATTTCTACCAAATTTGAAGTTGATATCTTCATTTTTGCGATCGGAAGAATGCCAACAACACCCTGCACACGGACTCATAGAGGGACAGACGTGACTAAATCAACTCAGGATCAAGAATACGTATACTTTAAAGGATCTCTGAACCTTTCTTTTGGTTGCTACATATATTATGGAAGAAAAACAAATTGGGTACACCGTCATCTTATAGTAGTGGGTATAAAAAGAAACGTTTCAACAAATAGGGTATAGGTTTAATATACGTATATTTTATATATATATACATATATTTTTTCAGTTTTATAGAACGGAAAAAATTGGTTAAGCAAGAAAATATTAAATAAAGAAAAGAAGTAAGAAAATGGTATTCGGTCCCAACCGAATCTTTTATACCCATCACCATTACCCTAAAACAAACAAAAAAGTAAAAGAATGAAATTTCATGCTCTATAATATGAAGTGGACGCGACTGATTTCTTCTATTTTCAAAATAAAAACTTCGGCGCATATACGTGTGGACGTTGTAGGCGGGTCCTTTGAAAAGTTTATTGCACTTCAAAATTCTTTCGCATATTTGTAGGCGAGATCTTCATTTTCGCTAACGGGAGAATGTTTACCACAGACACTTTACACAGTTGAGCAGACCAGCCAGATGGTCAAACGAACAGACGGACATGTTTAGGTGCATTTCAAATTTGAATCCAAGAATTTATATAATTTATGGGAATTTTGAAACCTATTTCTACAAAACTTAAATATCAATTTTCGATAGAAAAAATTTTCATAATTTCTTACTTACTTTGTGCCACGCAGCGACACCTTTACATCACCTGCACAACAGTTAAGAAAATGTTTGGCCATATTCTTTAAACAAACATAATGTTGCATAACGACTTTCAGCAGACCATCCATAGATGTTCCCAATGGTATACAAACATTGGTAAAATTTATTAAAGTCTGCGATACATGAATTAATTGAGAGCATATGGAACGTTCCAATGAACTTAAAGCAGCTAAACAGAAATCACGATCATCTTCATCTGCTATGCGGCATTTATAGGTCAAATTATTTGCTTTGGTAATAAAGTATTCAACATCTTCAATTTGTTTTCGTATAGCTTCATACGTATACAGCAAGCACGATTCGGCTGTCACCACGGTAATCGATTTCAACTTTACTCGAGATTGAGTGCAAACGTCCTACAAATAGATTCTTGTTTTGTTTTTTTTAAAAAAAGACAACAATTACACGCTAACGTACCTCTTCTTGTACTTCGTCTCTAATAGACGACCACAATTTACTGAAATGCAATGGTATCGTTTGAAAGAACGCCCCAGAATGAGTTTTTTGCCTTTGCTTAAACAATAATTTATGTACCAGACTTAACTCTTTATTGTTAATCTCATACTTTTCGCAAAATTGCAGTAACCAACTATACGATTCAACTGTCATACGACTATCGAATGATATATTTTCATAGAGTATCTCCAAACTCAACAATAGATTATAAGGAATCTTACATCCTTCCGGATCATTGAGCATGGAATCTGCAGCATCAGATGACTCTTCTTCCATATAGGTCTGTATAATATTTTGTAGAACGAGTATGCATTCGCTGCTCTTATTGGATGCATGCAAATCAAAATTGCGTACAAATGTATCGGAGAACTTGGTTTTGTAGGTTATATTAGCAGTATTCAAGCATTGCCGAAAACATTCTGTAGCTAAGGAAGCAGAAGTGAGATCAAATTCTTTCCACAGCATAGGTAAAACTTTAATGCAACGTTCATAAACCACTTTCGTTATGTCGCTCAAGTATTTGAACGTACGTTTACTGTGCGATAACTGCTTATACAAAGGTTGTAAATGTATGGCTTCGACTTTGTGGCCAGCAACTTCCAGCACATAACGCACCAAATTTACATGAGACCTTAGAGGCGTAGCCATATTCGCCGAAGCGAAAGGAACAACATCTCTATCAAAAGAAAGACGACATGGTATTAGAATGAAATTGAGGCGATATTTTCATTACTTACTCGTGAAGTAAACGCATGAAACGCTCCACCACAACCAAATTCCAAATATTTTCAGGCTTATTCGGCCCTTTTTTCGTTGCGCTACTATTTATACTTGAACCCAGAGTCGCATTTTCTGGATCAATATTCGTTTTCGATTTTTTAATCGATTTTTTGGTAGAAAGTGACTGGAAGAAGTTATACATATTACGCCTAATTTCAACCAAACCACTTTAGAAGTGATGAATATTGTAATTAAGGTGAAAAAAATGTTAATTAATATAATTCAGTGGCGGAAATCTTCACTCTAGCCCTCGACCAAATTTTCGAATAATGTACGGAATTACGGATTTTGACCATCGTTAGGATGGCGTAACTTCTTTTCACGAAAGACAAGACAATCTTGGCAAATGTTTGTACTAAGTTTCAGACTAATTATTTTTTGTCTATTGGTAGTCGATTTTTTGACCGTGACGCGCACAATGTTTAGATTAAATGGAATCGATATATGAATGCATATGTTTTCATGCCCATTTCTGAATTATACAAACGTAAGAATGTATCTAGCAAACATAAAAAAAAAGTAAAAAATTTAATCGATATAAAAGAACAATAAATTAACGAGTTAGCATCTCAAAGGCTTTAGAAAATTTCCTTTAACAACACATCATTTCTTAGTTGACTATGGAAGGGACTGACTCAAATCTTTTTTAAAACACGTAAACATATTATGACCGGAAAACACAAAAGATTATGAAGTCTGCATCATATCGCCTAATACAATTCTTCATTTATTTTATTGTTATATTTATAAATTAAAGGTCTATACTTCTCATGAAAGCCCTCACATCAAAAAAGTTCCAAATTTGATGCCGCAGTAAATTTCTATGTCCACTTCCTTACTTGGCTCAATTTTCACTATGAATTATTAAAAAATAAGTCCTTCTGTCCTTTGCAGCAATGATTATATGGGGCGGAGTCGAAAACCTGTCAGTTCGAATCAAATTTTTCACTATAAATTATGACTTAGCGATTTTTTCCGAGAAATTTTGAAAACTCCAAGGTTTTCTCTTATAGGGACTGTCTCAAGGCAAATCGTTTAGTGGGTAGTGGTCGCGAAGGTGATCCAATCCATTGTCAATAGCATTCGCCTTTGGGTCCAAGCAAGTCAAAGTACCAAATATCGTTAATATATTCCAAAAATTGCCCACAAAGCAACATACACAGACGGACAGACGAGTTTAAATCAGAAAATTATTATGAATGGATCGGTATCTCGAAACTCTTTATGGATTTTATTTAATATACTCTGCACCACAATACAGGAAGTACGATTAACCAAGTTCAATATTTCATTTTACATGCGATTTTCATATTCGTACCTTAAGACGTTCTATTAAATTTTCGTGTTCCCTAAACAATCCCAATATGTGTTTGACATAATCATTGTTCGATTTCGACATTAATATACAGTAAGCCATTAGACCTTCCAAAAAATTCAATTGCTGAAGAATTAATTCATTTTTTAAAAGAGTTAAATTCCCCATCTAAAAGAAACAAATAATAAATATATATATATATATATATATATCAATATTCTACTTGCGTATACGTACCGTACTTTCAAACTTAATTCCTTTGTTCAAAGTCCTCTCTATGGACGTCTCAATCAAGCGTCTCATTTCTCTAACATTATATTCATATTCGAAATTTTCAAAAATAACCAAACAATGAGCAATAAATACTAAAAGTAGTCCAAGATTATCATATATGTGAATCTCATTTTCCTGATCGTCCGTTGCTTTTGTGATTTTTTCAAATTTCACCTTAAACTGATTGCTATCGTCCTCCTCAAGCGGCGATTCGAAATATGAACGAAAATGCCAATCAATAAATTGCACAATATGAGGGACAAGTTTATTATTTAATTCGACGGCGCGTTGTAAATCTAAAAAATAAATGTAATATAACGGGAAATTTTCCTCATTTTCTTATATTACTGAAATTTACTTTCATATAAAGTAACCTTGACATCTACAGACTGTTGGAGGCAATTTCTTAAAATTCCCATAATATCCAAGGATAACATATCAAAATGTCGATGGGATCGGTTCATGGTTGCGCTGGCGCTTTGTGACATGAAACCACAACTTGAAATATTTTGCTGAGTACAAATGCTGCTTACGTTCACTTGCGACCGCTGCGAGTTGCAGTTATTCAATTGCTTCAAAATCATACAAAAACCATAAACAGCCATACAATGAACTTTGACATCACTAGTATGCGATTAATTAAAAAATATATTAAAAAAAGTTTTTAAATGCATTTAAAATAATTACTGTACAGAAGACCTACTTGCATCTTATAGCTTTCCTAAGCACATTTATAAAAGAATTTGTTATGATGGGTGAAATTTTTAATAAGGGCAAAATGAACGGCATCATCTGCATCGAGTGATCGCCAGGCATCTGAAAATATTTATTTTTACGAACTTTTAGACAAAAACTGACAGTTGTAATATCTGTGGATATATGCTACATTTTTGAAGCCCTAAGCGATTTTAGCGTCAATCATTCTTAAAACGTCTTTTCAAACTCATAAATAACAAAACATGTCGTGCTAAGAGAACAGCGAGCAAATATATCCTATACAAATTTTACCCAGAACCCATCAATATTAAATTACTTTGTTGAATACGCTTGATAAACTACAACTTGCTTTTAAACGACTTGCTATCAAAAAATAAGAAACTGAACATGTCGTATTAAAGACGAAGCTTTGAGCTTGTAATTTATGTAAACTGAAAGGGCTAGAAAGGTAAATTGATTGAAGTTTACGGGCGCACATGGCAATATGAGTCAGCGACATCAAGACAGCAATGAGGTAAACTTCTAATGTTGCAATTTTCCCAAATTTCCAGTGAGCTCGTAAAGCGCTTTATGTAAATTTTGAATTAAATCTAACGAGAATCATTTGAGATCGAGCAAGTTGTTTCAACTAAAATATTGATTGAAATTTCAATTTACATTCACGTATTTTGCACTTACAGCTTTTATAGACACTTATTTTGCTTTCATTGAATAACGAAAGTATATTAATTTAACAGTAGATTGGTAGGTATTCAACCTTTCTGCTGTACCTTTCTCGTTGATTGGCGTGAATTTTGCTCCAATATAGCCATTAAAACGTTGTAAACAAAGTCGGAAGGGCGTTCGTCTTTTAAGGTCGTATTCTCAGAACGGATTTTGCGAACCAATTTCTAACTGCCCCAACAGTTATCAGTCATTCACCGTATACGCTGCATATTCTTCAGCTGTCGTCTTAGCACTATTGCGTCGTTTAAATTCGCAAAGCAATTACATGTCGAACGTGTACTTTTTGACTCTCTGGAGTTAAGAAAAACAGTTAAATGTAACATGCCTCATATAATACAGTTGACAGAAGACTAACTGAATCCTCATCTATAGAGTGAAAAGAAAAAGTCGTTTGTTTCGGTAACTTCTAGTGGATAAATACGAACAATAAATTCTACCTAACTTAGTTACGAAAGTTGCTTATGACTCGACCTAATATATTCTACAGTGTGTATTGCTGTGTTTTCCAAAATTCCAACAAACTTAAAGCGCTCTCGCAATTTATAAAGAACTCACCCACAGAAAGGTTTCCAAAACACAATCGATTGTTTCCACACACTCGGAAACAGTGAACGTATCAGCTACGCTTAATAATGTCAAACATTCTGAAAAATTCAATTTATATAAATTAAAATATACGTAAAGACTACTCTGACTTTAACTACCAGAATATTGATTTTGATCTGGTTCTACTATCATCCATTCAGCTAATTTTTTTATAATGCCGTGACCAAAAATAAAACGTTTCCGTATGAATTTCGTTAGGAAATTAATAGCCTTTTGTTGTAATGATGGATTTTGTTTAGATTTAAGTAGAACAAATACTAAATTTACGAGACCGGGAGTAACCATATCTTTGCCATCTTTGTTCTGATCTATTAGTACCTTGAAAATTTGCTCTATATCGACGTGTTGACGGTGCAAAGTCTCGCGACACCATACCGAATATTCAGATAAGGTATGTTCGTCCTCGTTGCGACAAATGACGCTACGTAGAAATGGTAGAAGTATCGATGCACTTAAACCGCAACTAGGATTACGATTGACTTTACTCATGGTTAGAATAGCGCTTAAAACAAAAGGTGTCAATATGATGTCCGGCATCGATATAAAGTTCTAAAGAACAAAGAAAAATATTAATCTCTTATTAATCTCTTTTAATATTCTGCGATTCTGTGGCCAATGACTTACTCTTAATACTGCACACATTTGTTGCTCAGTAATTTTAATCTGAGTACATAAATCCAAATGATGCAAAATTGTTTCTTCAGCTTCTCTCATTTCCTTATCAGAATATTTATCTGTAAAAAGGCATAAATTTATAAATAATAACTGTTGCATCCGCCTGAGTGACCAAAGGCAAAGAATCTCGACTAGCCGTGAGTGTGTGGATCTAGTGCTTTACAACTTGGGTTTAGAATTTATTTCTCTAGCTAAGTTAATAATAATAATAATATAACTCTTATAAATATGGACAGGTATACTCGTCTTGAATCGAACCACTTAGTTCACTTAGTTCGTTTTCATGTCGTTTCATTTTCTTAGTTATTGCAGGATTATAGTCTTAATCGTATATTTTGAAAATAAACATTTGTGAAGACTATTCCGATTTTGGACGGACCTCAGAATCTATTCCTGATCTAAAAATTACATAAATATCTTAATAAGGTTAGTACACTTTCTTTTCTTATCGTGGACATAAAAATTCGTCCATTTTGTCCATTTCTTACCTATACTATCAAAATCCACAGAGTTACTATTCATATCGGCAAATAGTTTTTTATAGTAAAATCGGTAAAAATACTTGTCCAATGCCAATATCGGTACAATAATCTGAGATGCGGTAGAGCAAATGGAAAACAATTGATATGCTAACGCAGGCAATGCCATCGGAGCTAAAGATTGTACATAACCACAAAATTTATTTACTACGACCGTAATTTCATTAGCAGATAGTTGAAGTTCTCTAGGTCAATAATGAATGAACATTAATTAACAGCTCAATATGTAATATACAAAATATTCACCTGCACATATCGGCCAATGGCGTTAGAACTTCACTTGGCCAACGCATCGTAAACAAATTTTTAACAATTGAATCGCGATATTCCAAACCACCCATGGTTATACCGTTGACTATAACTGTTCGTTGGTCAGTAAGTATATTTAAGACTGGCGGCAACAAATCTTTCCATCCGACACATTTTGGGTCTGCCACACGCAAATGGTCTACGCAATGCTCTAAAATCTCTATTAAATGCTCGTTAGGAAATTTTTGTAAATCCAAACACAAACGTGTTATTAAATCATAAGTTTGCCGATAAGTTAGTTCCACCTTTAATAAGCCGTCAAGAAAGCACTTTACACAAGCGAATCGTTTCTCTCTAGCTTCGAAAGTTTCAATACTGAAACCTAGCAGCAAACAATCCCAAAATTTTGCAAATTCATTACGGCCCAATTTATTCTCCAGAATGTCAGTGAGCTAAACAAATACCAATCATTTTATAAACGACTTTGCAAATATCTCTTGAACTTGTACCTTTTTTGTGGAAGTATTTTGCAGTAATTTCTGTAATTGCGGCAGCATACGTCGGTCATTGAATGTATACATTTGCTTTTCTAAAACCAAGGCTGCGCTAGTTGAAGACATCTCCAAGCAGCTTTAAAAAAAATAACGTAAAATTTTACAAAAAACAAAAATTTCACTTTCTCTTAACAAAAATTAAATTTTGGCAATGGCGCAATATTTTGATCGCTTTCGCGCAATCATTTGTGCTAATGCAAAAAACAGCTGTTATCGAGTCAGCTGAAACCTACATAGTCGTATTTAATAGGTCCTATTAATACCGGAATAATATAGTGTTGTTAGTGTATATAAAAATTTTGCATTATTGTAAGCCTTGAATAATTTTTTTAAAAATTTTCAGTGAAATTAAAAAAAAAGAAGACGAGTTAATACATAAAAAATGAGAATAAATCGTACAATAGCGACAGCATTCATTTTCGTTGTTTTGTCGTTGTTTTCCGGTCGCTTGTTCGTAATTGAATTTCTCAAATAACAGCCAAATTGTTTGTGCCAATAACAGTTAAAAGAAAGAACAACTTTTAACAAAAAAAAAAGGTAAAATTAATAAAAGGTAAGTAAAATATTGTTAGGTTAGGATTCGATTTGCCGAATGCGACAGCAAGTTTAATCAAGTGCGAAACACAAAATAGACACGGTTTTCTGAGTTTATTGGCATCCGATTGGGCCGGTGGTTTGTCCAATGAGGTCAAAACTTGAATTTCAATGGAGGCGTTGTTTGATTGATTAAACATATGAGGTTAAAAATCGAATGTGATCCGTGGTTGTGGTCATCCGCAATCTGGAAGAAACTAAAGCAACCTCGGATTTTTGACTGAGTTTTGACCCTGATTTACGCTGGGCTTAAGTTTAATCGAACTTTGGATAACTTTTAACGGAATTTCGAGTGAATTTTGGATTAAGTCTGGTCGAATTTTGACTTGACTATTTTTGCTCTCATCAGGAACAAAATGGACTTAGGAATCTGTTTTCTCGCAATTTCTACTCTTAATGGAGATATGCTGAGGATTCGCAAGAGTAAACCCGGTATTTATTTATTTATTTATTTATTTTATTCCACTTATACTAGAAACTCAACTAAACAAATAGCAGTCGAGTTCAATAGGCTCTTAATGCAAAACTAATATTAATTAACAATAAAATTGAGTATAAGCATAATAAAACAAATAAGAAGAAAAAAAAAAAAGAAAAAGAAAAAAGAAAAAAAAGCATGTACACTATCAGCATAGGAGCACACTTACAACCGGTACAGGACCAAATTGCAAATGAACCCCTAAGCCATCGCAAACATGCATAAGCCTGGCAACCGATAATAAATTGACAATAATTCACTTTCGAAACGTAACGACTTTTTAAGGATAAAAGCTAGTTTAAATACGACA